TTTTTATTATTAAGAGTTTATCACACCAATTCATAATCACACATGCAATTTCACAACTTTTTATTTTTGTTGTCTATTATAAAATTAATATGCAGCTAAAGAACTTTTTTAATTGTGTATTCATTTTAGTACAACAGAAAATGTTTTTGTATTTATATAAGATAGAAGAGTTTGAATTAAGTAGCGTAATAAGTTTCATAGTTATTCTCTCAAAGTACAAATGTCACAAAATTGGATGCTTTTTCTAAAACATCTCTTATTAAAAATAATTAAAATGATTTTGACAAATAATGAGTTAAATATTTTAAAATTCAAGGACAGTGTATTAAAGAAAATTATAAATTTGAAATTACATTTTTATAAAAGAGAAAAAAATCAATTTATAAAAATATATTATTATTCTATGAATAAGATTTAAGAACTAATTTAAAATTTATTTACTATTTATCTTTACATTATATACTAAAACTCAAGAACATAATTCATAATTATAAAAAAGCTTTAATGTATTGATACTTATTTAATGGTCTGATAATAAAATATCAAAATCTTACTTTCTGTGGTGTATCAACTACAGCTCTAACGAAAACTTTATAACTGACACCATTCTGTAATCGACGATTTAGAAAACCCAAATATTTACTTCCATCACCAAGAGAAAATGTATCGGGAATGTATCTTCTTAAAAATTTGGCTGCGATATATGGACCCACTTTATCAAATGGAGTTGCAGTTAACTAAAAACCAATATGCTTTATAAGTATTTTCAAAACGATAATTTATATTTAATTATCAATATATACAAATATCCTAGTGTTTACCTCTTCAATAGTATAAGAATCTGGTTCTTTCATAATTTCTTCAGCAGGAACTACAACTAAATAATAATGACTAATTGGACCATATTCTTCAGAAGCTTGTGGTAAAATAACAGTTATTACATTATCACTCTGTACACCAAATGAATCTGGTTTTACCATTGGTTTGGGTGCTACAAATAAAAAAAAGTTTTCAAAAAAATTTATATTAAATATTAAAATTTATTTATTACTTAAAATTTTATATAACATTAAAATAATTTTATATTCTATTTTAATTTTGTTTAATTATCATAATTTCATTATATTGTAAATTATATAAAATGTGAGTTTTTTGTCATCTACCATGTTTCCCCGAAAATAAGACCTAGCAGAGATTTTGCTGAATTGCGAAATATAAGACCCTCCCGAAAGTAAGACCTAGCAAGTTTTTTTTAGTCGTAACGGTCATCGACAGATGGTTGAAAGTGGCCGTTGGCTTTTTGAAAGTACAGCCACTGTCATTGGTCAGCAGACAATCATGCCACACGGCATGATTTGCATAAGACTATGGCTTGGAAATCACAGATTTGCATAACGTTATGGCTAGTGATCGCTAATTGGTTGGCCAGGAATCACGCTACATCACATTTGCATAGTGCTATAGTTCAGTAAGCACTAATTGGTCATCGAGCCAGATGTCGATGCTATGAAAAGGTTAAGTTGAAGCAGAGTGGGAAGTCCACTCCAGCAAGGGAACTTCGTAAGTTCACTTTGGTTTTATTTAGGTTCAGTTCGACACGACCGGATATACGTCACTCTCGTTTAAGTTAGACTTGGGAATTTTTTTGTTCAACAATAAATATGAATTCTTCGTCATGGAAAAATAAGACATCCCCTGAAAATAAGACCTAGCGCATCTTTGAGAGCAAAAATTAATATAAGACACTGTCTTATTTTCGGGAAAACAGGGTAGATTAGAATTATTAATCAAATTCATCATGTTACAATTATCAAATAGCTGTCTGTCAGAAAAGTCTTCTAAACTCAGAAAATAATAATCATAATCATAATTATATTCTAAGCTAAATCATGAACACTTAAGAAAAAGAATTGAAATTGAAAACAATTATAAAGTGATGTAGAATTTAAAATAAAAAATGAAAATAATGCTATTTTTCTATTCCAAAAAATTCTGCAATCTCTGAAACAAAGTTATTTGTTAAATTAGATGTCAGCATATCATTGCATAAATTAAAAATTTGAAATTTGAAATTTGATGTTAATATAATTTGAATTTGGTTATTTATCAATTTATATGCAATGTTGTAAAATAAAATTTAGCAATTAATGACCCACAAGTTATATGCAGTCCTTACATATGTGTAGTTATTACTTTGGTTTTATTCTTAGTGCAACCTAAGGAAACATTTATGTTAATTCCATAAATATATACAAACATCGCTAAACCCGATATATAATATAGCTACACACCAACTGAATGCCGAAAATCTATCGGGCTAGTTTAAGGCTAATTTTCTAAATGAATTACGTAACCAATTTGGCTCTAGAGGTAAGCGTTAGGCACCATCTCTTATTAACATTAATAATTATAAATAAATAAATTAATTTAAATAATTTAGAACCGNATAATAGAAATTTTTAATGTTTTGATGACTATCACTTAGTATGATTGTCATTTTCAAATATAAATTTTCATTACGATATAAGTAACATCTCTTAATATCTATTACTGATGACCAAAAATATGAACATTAGAATTAAGAAAGCACGGTAGATCTACAATAAAGAACATACCAGTGTGCAGCTCTTTCAAATGTTATAGAAGATTTGTTGTAACTGAATATGTACTTTTTATTCAGAAGCTGTATAATTTTTATATTAATTGGGTAGAAAATAGAAAGCAATTTTTTGATAAAATAAAATGGAAATATTATTTTAAAAATATCAATTATATGATTTTATAATTTCATTCATATATTAATTATTAATGAACCTATAATTTCATTCATAACTTTTTCAGAATTAAATAAAGATAATATTTGAAAAACTAACATCCAAATGAATTTAAAATAAAGTACAACTTGAAAATCATGACATTTTCAAAAATACAATGTAAGATAATTTGGTAATTAAACATTTATTTAACATTTTTGTATTATTTAGTAATATTGCAAAATTTTGGAAGATATGCCATAATTTTGTAATGTGTTAGTTAAATGAATTAATGCAATTCTGTAAAATACAATATAAAATGAAAAAATTGATTAATTACAGCCGAATATTGGACCAAATTTTTCACAAATTTTGACGTTATATATGAAAAAGTAATTTTTTAATTTTTCAAAGTACAGTAGCACATCATTTATCCAAATCAATTGGGGACCGAGGTTGTTCGGATAACTTATTTTTCGGATAACTGATTATGTATGAAAAAATATATTCATCTATCCCGTGTTGAATTTTCGTCAATGTTAAGCATAACGTATACTTTTTAAAATAATAATCGTGGCTATTGTATCGTTAAAAATTATTTCTTTATTTCTTACAAACAAAATAAATATATTGAAAAATATAAAAACCAAAAAAAATATACTTTAGAAGTTGATCTAGTATCAAAAATGTTCGATTCAGCATGACACAATTCTCAGAAAAACACCATACAGAAGTGCCAGTGCTGCCAGCTAAAACACACACACCAACAAAAAAAAATATTGGATAGCCCAAGATATAGCCAAAGATTACAGCATCACAGCACTAGCAAAAACTAAAATTTGCCAACTGGAATGCTTTCGGATAACTGACTTTCGGATAAACGACGCTCTACTGTATCACTGTTTCTTTGAATCAAATTTCAAATTTTAAAAAATATCATTACTGAAAAAATGGTGTATATTTTTGGCACAAAAATTCAAATGAAAAAAAAAATTTTAAATGTTTTCAAAAATGATTTTACTGGTTTAGAACAGGGCAACAATTTCAAAAGTTTTTATATTATAATACAGTTACAATATATTATAATATAAAGATTCATAAAAAGATTGCAGACATCATTTGCCAAATGCAACGTAGCTAAAAAATAAAATCTGAAAATAATCAATAAAAATTGTGATCATGTGATAACATCTAGCCAATACAATACTAAGAATGAATATTTTTACTAGTTTTTAGGATAGTTTTCCTGGTCTTAGTAATGTGTGGTTATCAGTGCAGGAAGATTATATGTTTATTAACTTTATTATAATTTTACGTAACAAACCTACATTCAAACAATTCATTAGTATTGTAATTATAGGATACTTTTTTTTTTACATGATTATTGTTAATGATGATATAATGTAAGTCTAACACCCTGTTATAACAGGCTATGATCTATTATGATTAATAAATTGATTTGATTTGATAATTTTACTTTAATTATTCACCATTTCAAATGAACTAGTCTATATACTTATCCTGATTAAGCAAAAGAATAATTAAAATATTAAATAATAGACATAATCAATAATTTACATTTAATATAAAATGATTTATACACTTATAACTTTCATCTATCTATCAGTCTCTTTTCAATTTTATAAGAATATTATTTCCAAATATATCTGAAATAACTGCTGTATATTTTTGTGGATTTTTTTAAATACTAAATTGAACTAACATATTCTTTTTCTAAAATAATCTCAAGACCAGAAATGCTCAAGTTTGAGATGTGAAAGTCAAGGATTGCAAGAAAATTTTTGACATAAGAATCTATAAATTTTTATTAAGAAATGTTGATAATTATTTGAATTATTTCTTTTACTTCTTAGATTAAAATAATTGTGTAATAATTAATAAAACTTATTACTTTTTTAATTTGTTTTAATTTTTCTCGTTTACATTCTGTAGTATTGATATCTATCAATAAAAATTTTGATGAAAACATGAAAATACATAATAATTGTCCAATACATGGTCTACACATAGTCCAGCTTTAAATAGCTCTAAAAAGTAACAATGAAAATGTTTTCACATGAGATTATCCATGTAAGATATATTATATGTTTCTAATGTTAGGTAATCATCAGGTGCAACAGATCCAAGTTTATGATATAGCATTTCTTATAAATTATGATCTCAAAGTTATCTCTTTCTAATAATAGATAATCACAGTTTAAAAAATATTGATAAAAATTTCTTTACCTTAAATTCTAATTCCATTCCTGTACAATTTTCTCCTGGTACTACAAGCATTAACTGCTGAATATGTGCGTAAAGATTGCGGGCAGCAATTTCTGTATTGCCAGCTATCACAGCTTCTAAAACAGCATCGTGTATAAAAATGTATTGATCTTCTGTCTGCACCATATAATTACGTTGAGCTCGAAGACAAGTTACGTGACCATAGATATCGGTTGTATTTTCTTGTTTTAGTCTTTCTAACATTGAATCTATTACTATAAAACAACCAGTCCGTCCAACACCGGCACTAGAAAATTTATGATTTTAATATATTTATGTATAAAAATATTATTTCAGTGAAATATTATCTAATATACCTGCAATGAACTATCATAGGTCCCACATCGGGTGGATTCATACTCCGTACTCTCCGAAGAAACATTAGGAATGGTGTAGGATGATCTGGAACTCCATGATCAGGCCATGCAGTGAATTGGAATTGACGTACTTCTCGTTTTTCAGAATAACCAGACTATAATTAATAAGTAGCTTTAGTATAGCTTTTACTAAATAAACATTAATAATATTTATTTTGAAAAACTTGTGTAATTTTACCCTATGTAAACAAAAAGTACGAATGCAATAAGTAGCTAATTCTTGTAAATCTACCAAAGTTACATGCATCACTCCATACACTTCAGTTCCTCTATTTGGCCAATACTGATCACACTATAAAGAAGGGTTTTTGCATTAATAAATGTCTATTGTTATTGTTATTATTTGAAAGCTAAAGAAATACCTTTATCCTAGTTCTTTCTTCAAGTTTAGTCATCATTACAATAGTGGCACTATGCTGTTCCCAGACCATTCTCCAGAAATCACCAAAAGTTTCTGGAAGTGGACCTTGAGTGGCAATGTAAGCATTTTGTTTTCTATATCCATCACAATAATTTGCGTTAATGTAATCAGAACCCGGAATTCCATCCAGCTGTTGCAGTACAACTCTGCTATGATCATAAGCTATCACATTTGCATAACGATTCTTAACTTTATTCACTTCAATATTTGAATTTTCCCATGTAAATTGTTGACCAGGTTCAATTGACTAGAAAAATATATAAATTGTAAAATCATCAAAAATTGAATATAAAATTAGTTACAAAAACATTACAAAAAGATTATAAAAATCTGTATGAATTAAATACCTCATATTCCTGAGAAAATTTTAAATTTTCATTAGCTTTCAATCTATCAATGTGATTAGCTAATTCTGTTACTGGAATAGGAGGATGGTTCATCATTGCCGGAGTCTGATAATTTAGACGCCTCATCTCAACCGGATCTGTAGGATGAGCTGCCACATCTCTTTCTTGAGTATTTGTTAAGAGTTTCATTGTTGTCTCTCCAGCTGGTGTTTTAATAATTTGGTGTCGTCTGTATAAGTCAGATAAATTCCTGTAATAACGTCACTTACCCAATGACTGACAAAACTCTCATTTGTCAATAATAAAAAGTATTTACTCAATCATTTACATTTTTAAAAAAATAATCATCTACTTAATAACTTACCTGCGAATAATCAATAAAATTATAACAGGAGTAAGAAGGAGAAGAGCTACTATTGGTCCAATAATCCAAACTACTCCCGCTTTATCAGCTGAATCATTAATTTTTGCAATGTCTGGTGTATCAGTTTTATCTCGATGATCAATTCCCGAAGATGGTTTTCCAGACAAAATTGCCATATCAAGACTCAAACTATCAGAAAATGGGCTACTCGTGTAAAGAACCTACCAATTGAAATTTTATGCATATTAATTTTCTACAAATTTAGTACCTTATAATAAATAATTATAAAAAAAATATCTTGCAATGTTTTGATTTTTATCTCGAATTTCAAAATTAAAAGTTTGACTTTAAAAAATAATCTAGTGGTCTGAATAAAAACCGAAAATATTCAACCTAAAATAAAATACAAGAAAATACTCTAACCTCTGAAATTGGAATAGGCTGAGAGCTTTTTCTCATATTTTATATAAATTTCCAACCCCAATGAATAGTTTTTTATAATTTTTACAAAATGATAAAAGATTAATGTTTTTCAAATTATAATGCATTGTGCAAAATAATAAAATAGTATTAATCAATATTTAAATGCAGGGTGGTTATAATTAAAGTTGCCCTACTCAGACCTGTCTAGAGCCCATTCTCATGGACATATTTTGATGAAATTTGGTATATATGTTATATGGACCATGGGGAAAAGAAAAACTCAAAAAAATATTTAGTTCAAATTTTTATCACTGGTGAAAAAAATGGCGCATGAAGAACAAGAAACAGAAAATGGAAACATGCAAAAGGTTTTTATACCCTATATTTTAAAAAGAATATGACAAACTGAAAACTGATTATAGTTTTACTATTATATTAATTTGTAGATATGTGGATGCAATATGTATTTGATTTCATGAATACTAAAAACAAATTTTAGTCTTTCAACCATTAGTACCTGCTAAAATTTTGAAATACTTTTATCTATATTGGTTTATTAGTTCAAAGAGTTAAAAAAAAACATTATTTTTCATAATTCTTTGGCCTAAAGTTAATAATTTAATAAATAACTTATTAAATTGTAAAATTCAAATATCTGTTGAAGAAGGTCAATTAAGAAGACCATCATTAGAATGATAACTATGACCTTAATAGAAGAAGTGATTAAAATAAGAAAGCTAATTCCTTCAGAGAGGAGAGAAATGTTTGTTTGGCTTATTCTAAGAATATTTCCTTAAAGATCACCAAAGAAAAAGCTAGTGCTGCTAGCATTAACCTGACTAAATAGGAAGTATTAACCAGCACAAAGTTTTAAGTAAAAGTTTGATAATCCATTTTAATGATAATAAATGTGATAAAATTAACTTATTTTATATGCTGTTTTTGTGTTTAGTATTCCATAGTTTAGTTTTACTTTGCTTTTTAAAAAAAAAAAAATTTTAATTTGAATGCTTCCTGAAAATATTTCTATTTTATTTTCAAGTATGTTATATTGTTCTACATTCAATTTTGTTAGTTTTTGTGCTGTGAATGTGATGATAAAACATACAATGTCTTGAAAAACATTTAATCTGAATAAACCTATAAGACTTCTTGATCATTCAAATAAAAAAATAATACTAATATGTTTAATATTATCATTCAAATTATTACAAATCAAAAATATTTTAAAAATTGTTCTTGATTATTATTTTTAGAGTTTAAAATTTATTTTAAAGAATCATAAAGATAGAAATATTGTTTAATTTTAATTTTTACCCTATTATTGTTATAATTTTGTAGATTAATAATTTTTATTATTAAGAGTTTATCACACCAATTCATAATCACACATGCAATTTCACAACTTTTTATTTTTGTTGTCTATTATAAAATTAATATGCAGCTAAAGAACTTTTTTAATTGTGTATTCATTTTAGTACAACAGAAAATGTTTTTGTATTTATATAAGATAGAAGAGTTTGAATTAAGTAGCGTAATAAGTTTCATAGTTATTCTCTCAAAGTACAAATGTCACAAAATTGGATGCTTTTTCTAAAACATCTCTTATTAAAAATAATTAAAATGATTTTGACAAATAATGAGTTAAATATTTTAAAATTCAAGGACAGTGTATTAAAGAAAATTATAAATTTGAAATTACATTTTTATAAAAGAGAAAAAAATCAATTTATAAAAATATATTATTATTCTATGAATAAGATTTAAGAACTAATTTAAAATTTATTTACTATTTATCTTTACATTATATACTAAAACTCAAGAACATAATTCATAATTATAAAAAAGCTTTAATGTATTGATACTTATTTAATGGTCTGATAATAAAATATCAAAATCTTACTTTCTGTGGTGTATCAACTACAGCTCTAACGAAAACTTTATAACTGACACCATTCTGTAATCGACGATTTAGAAAACCCAAATATTTACTTCCATCACCAAGAGAAAATGTATCGGGAATGTATCTTCTTAAAAATTTGGCTGCGATATATGGACCCACTTTATCAAATGGAGTTGCAGTTAACTAAAAACCAATATGCTTTATAAGTATTTTCAAAACGATAATTTATATTTAATTATCAATATATACAAATATCCTAGTGTTTACCTCTTCAATAGTATAAGAATCTGGTTCTTTCATAATTTCTTCAGCAGGAACTACAACTAAATAATAATGACTAATTGGACCATATTCTTCAGAAGCTTGTGGTAAAATAACAGTTATTACATTATCACTCTGTACACCAAATGAATCTGGTTTTACCATTGGTTTGGGTGCTACAAATAAAAAAAAGTTTTCAAAAAAATTTATATTAAATATTAAAATTTATTTATTACTTAAAATTTTATATAACATTAAAATAATTTTATATTCTATTTTAATTTTGTTTAATTATCATAATTTCATTATATTGTAAATTATATAAAATGTGAGTTTTTTGTCATCTACCATGTTTCCCCGAAAATAAGACCTAGCAGAGATTTTGCTGAATTGCGAAATATAAGACCCTCCCGAAAGTAAGACCTAGCAAGTTTTTTTTAGTCGTAACGGTCATCGACAGATGGTTGAAAGTGGCCGTTGGCTTTTTGAAAGTACAGCCACTGTCATTGGTCAGCAGACAATCATGCCACACGGCATGATTTGCATAAGACTATGGCTTGGAAATCACAGATTTGCATAACGTTATGGCTAGTGATCGCTAATTGGTTGGCCAGGAATCACGCTACATCACATTTGCATAGTGCTATAGTTCAGTAAGCACTAATTGGTCATCGAGCCAGATGTCGATGCTATGAAAAGGTTAAGTTGAAGCAGAGTGGGAAGTCCACTCCAGCAAGGGAACTTCGTAAGTTCACTTTGGTTTTATTTAGGTTCAGTTCGACACGACCGGATATACGTCACTCTCGTTTAAGTTAGACTTGGGAATTTTTTTGTTCAACAATAAATATGAATTCTTCGTTATGGAAAAATAAGACATCCCCTGAAAATAAGACCTAGCGCATCTTTGAGAGCAAAAATTAATATAAGACACTGTCTTATTTTCGGGAAAACAGGGTAGATTAGAATTATTAATCAAATTCATCATGTTACAATTATCAAATAGCTGTCTGTCAGAAAAGTCTTCTAAACTCAGAAAATAATAATCATAATCATAATTATATTCTAAGCTAAATCATGAACACTTAAGAAAAAGAATTGAAATTGAAAACAATTATAAAGTGATGTAGAATTTAAAATAAAAAATGAAAATAATGCTATTTTTCTATTCCAAAAAATTCTGCAATCTCTGAAACAAAGTTATTTGTTAAATTAGATGTCAGCATATCATTGCATAAATTAAAAATTTGAAATTTGATGTTAATATAATTTGAATTTGGTTATTTATCAATTTATATGCAATGTTGTAAAATAAAATTTAGCAATTAATGACCCACAAGTTATATGCAGTCCTTACATATGTGTAGTTATTACTTTGGTTTTATTCTTAGTGCAACCTAAGGAAACATTTATGTTAATTCCATAAATATATACAAACATCGCTAAACCCGATATATAATATAGCTACACACCAACTGAATGCCGAAAATCTATCGGGCTAGTTTAAGGCTAATTTTCTAAATGAATTACGTAACCAATTTGGCTCTAGAGGTAAGCGTTAGGCACCATCTCTTATTAACATTAATAATTATAAATAAATAAATTAATTTAAATAATTTAGAACCGCTGGGAGAAAAATCGGCCTGGATAGCGTAACTGGCAATGCATCTGCATGGTAAGCAGGAGTTGTGGGTTCGAGTCCCGCTCCGGGCCGATTTTTTCTCCATAAATATAATTATAAATATTTACTTTTCTCCTAATAGAAATTTAATGAAGAATTCTTTGTTTATTTCAGTATTTTGGCTATGTTTATTTTGATAAATACTAGTTTGTTCTGTACTTGAAGCTTCAGTTTGATTATCATGTGATGTACCAGGTTGCATTGCAACAAATGTTCGTCAGTGCGGTGTTGCAAAGCAACGCCACACTGACGAAATTACCAATATTAGAGAAATTTTTCAAAATGGAGAATCATAGAGAAGAATCAGAAGCTGAAACCATCTCAGACATTCAGAATTATTTAGCTTCATTTAATAAAGAGATACAAGATGGAACTTCAGTAGGAGGAGATTGTTGATTAAGACTATAAGAAAATTCAGAAATGATTACTGCAACTACTATTGATACAGTAAGCGAAAGTGGTTAGCAACAGACTACCAGTGGTGCAGTACATACTATGTAACTCAAACAACAGATGGATATCAATACACAACAGATCAGAATCAGAATGCTTATAATGCTGCTACCTATTATACGTCATCTGGAACTGCATATTATGCTAGTACAGAACAACAAGGGCAGAAGGCAGAATGAGCAGAATCAAGGACAGTATGAAACAATTCACACTTATACTACAGTAGAAGGCATTGCTAGTGACAGTTTAATGAAATCTTCATCAAGTACTGATAATAGAGCTAGAATGGTAATAGCTGTGACTACTGGAGAAAACAACAGTTTCTAACAAATCATGCTTGCTGTTAATGAAAGTGGAAATATAGCAGGACAAGAAATGGTTGATGGAAATACTCAAGAAATTTCAGTCACAATCCCTGCTTCAGTGACTGGAACAATGAGACATGTACATCAAGAAACTACAGAAGAATTATTGAAAGCAGTAGAGAATCAAAGTAATTCTGCTGAAACCACCCAAGCTTTAGATCAGCCAACATTTGTTGTAATGCAACCTGGTACATCACTAATTTGTTCTGTTCAGTAATACCAACAAAATGTACAGTTTTGTGTTGTTTCTGCAGCATGGCATCAGAACTCAGAATTCTTTTTATTAAAAGGTATTTTATCCTTTTATAATTAATATTTGTGCAGCTCCTTCAAAATAAAATTAATTTGACCTGGAAATCTCAAATGGTTGCCTCTGTTATATACTGTATATATATAAATAATAAAAGGTAGAACATTTCATCAAATATTTTCAGAATAAATTAAGCAACAGTTTAATCACCCATTTCTAGTATTTAATTCATTGGCATTTGAAAAAGAACTGTATTTAAATCTTTAAATAAATGTGTTATAGTACAGACATGGGCAAATGCGGCTCTTTTTGAGTTACATGCGGCTCTTGCGGAAAGTGTTAATTTCTGCTTTTTATTATTATTTTTACAATTTTATTTCCACAATTTTGTGAAAATATGTTTATTAAAAANTTTTTTAAAATTACTTCAGATATGGTTGAATTTACTGATGAAGAAGGATATGGTAAATATTTAGATCTGAATGAATGCCATGAAAAATTTCTGAACTTGAAAGGTATTGAAGTAAGTATATTTTAAATATTAATTCTATTGAAAAACATAGTTTAACAGAAAAACATTTCAGAAATACATATAATATTATACATTAAATGTTTCATATTCACTGGGGTTACATTTTACAAAACTTTTGTGAATATGAAAACTAACAAACACATAACTGTTTACTTCAATAAATATTTACTAATTTAATGCTTTTGGTCTTCTTAATTGACCTTTGAGTTAGAGAATGTTTACTGTATTAATTTTCATCATCAGACATATTATCTTAAATTATTATTAATATATTAATAACTATGTTTNTCGCAGTACAGAACAAAAAAGTATAGAACTACAGCTCCCATGCATTTTGCAAATCCTACATTTTGGCTCCCATGAACTCTTGCTTGCCCACCCATTATAGTATTTTGTTAAATAACTACATAAGTCCTAGTGTCAGATGTTAAAGAAAAATTCATCATTCACTAAGTTAGAACATCCTGAACATTGTCTGGATCTGTGCAGAATTGTGTAAGTTAATCTGGCTGGTTTCATAGATTTATTATACTATTTTATTATTGATTACATTTACTTCATTTATTTTTCTGTTTTAAAAGACTTTAAAAATGTTAAAATTCTTAAGAGAAAGTTGATTCTCATAACTTATGTTCTATCATTATTCACACGAGTTCTTTAAATTATAGATAGATTCTTTTAACTTTGTTCTAGAAGCTGGGGAAGTAGCTTATCATTTTCCTAATCAAAATCAAAATATTAACAACAGTTAAAACCTGATATAATCAAAATCTTAATAGGTGAAAGTCCTGATAATGAAAATCTCTCAATAAAAATAAAAATAATAATTTTGTTAAAATTTTATAGTTGATATTAAATAACCTTAACAGTTAACTATCNTTTTATTTGAATTTTGAAAAATTTGAGTTTGTATGTTGTTTGAAAGAAGACAAATATACAAGCTGTTCCACATAAAATTGGACCCACTCACTGGAAACAATACAAATGAATTTAGGCAAAAGAATACTCATTAGAAATTTGATTTTAACATTATTTAAATATACAAAAACTTAGAAAATGCTGAAAGCTGTGTCCTTGTGCATCTATGCAACTTTGTGTGTGGGTAATTATGTTCATACTGATCTTATATAGAATACTGATGTTGATAGTCTCAATTCTGTGAATTGAGACTATCAACATCAGTATGTTGATAATTCTGTATGTTCAACTGATGTAACTGATTATCAACATCAGTATGTTGATAATCAGTATGTTGAAAATTCTGTGAATTTTTTCCTTCAGTTTGTACACAGTTCTGATGTTGGTCTCAGGCACTTTTCCTTATAAATACTCCATATAAAATTTAATTTTGTCATCTCAGTCAAGCCAGTTTTAAGTGGGACACACTAGTTTTAAGAAGTACAAAAATNGATATAAGTATCAAACCCAAGAAAATAAAATTGTCTCTCTCTTAATGTATTACTTAAATGTTTTTATATTTATTGATATTTTAAATATATTATTATTATGAAAAAAATTACAAGGATAGTGTAAAGAAGCTGCTCTTATCACTTATCATGAGCTTTGAAAATGCTGCAAAGAACCTATTGATAACATTAAATGAGGCCTCACTGTATACAGAGTTTTCAGTGTTCATAGCAAATTTTCAATTTGCAATGAACACTGAAAATTGAAAATTTATAGAAATTTCAATGAAATTTGCAGTGTCTTAATACTATTAGAATTTTGAATTATTGCTAGATTATGAACTTAATAATTATATAAGTACAGAATAAGTTTTAAATCTTTGTATACATTTCTGTTAACAGCTTAATTGTTTCAAAATGATCAATGCCATAATAATTAATTGTTTGCTGCAATATGGTTCAAGTTAAAAACAAAATAAATATATATATAAAAGTACCAATACATAGTATGGTTCACATTTGCTTCTAAACAAATAAGCACTGGTTTCTTATAAATTATAAAGTAATGTGATAATAAAAAGACTATGTCAATAGTTTACAATGTGAGACTGTTGAACATCTAAAAGGCAAAGATAACAAAACATCACCTTGTGGACAGTCAACAGAAAGTATACCTAACTGATCCTAACCAGAAATGTAAAAACTGACAGACAAATTTATAATGTTAATTTTTATTTAATCTCAATTAAATAGTACTGTGTCTTCATCTACAGCAGCCTACATCACCAACAATACATAGTATATAATCCCAAAAGCTAGGGATTATTTTTTAATAGTTATTCACTGAGTGCTTCATAAATGCTAGACTCTACTTACTTTCCAAACAGATTAGTTGGTTCACTCAGTTTCTAATTAAACTAGTTTCCAAGTGCACGCCACTCATTGGTCTGATGAAGTTAGATGCAAAAAATTAACTACTCACCACACCTATATAACAATCACATACACAGAACCAATTTACGGTGTGGTACGATCGACTAACAAGTACAAAAACAAAAGTTTTCAAACCCCTTCTAGACTCTTCATCAGGTTCCTACAGTTTTAGCTCGTAAATTCGATTACTGAATGCTTTTCAAATAACTTCGTTCTTGAGTTTGAACGGTTCTTTTAAACTTATACGTTGCGCATGCATGACAAGGCAGCCTGCTCGGATATAACGAGCGGCTAAAGCGTGCTGTGTATCAGGCAGACTTGTCACGCATGCGCAACGTATAAGATTAAAAGAACCGTTCGAACTCAAGAATGAAGTTATTTGAAAAGCATTCAGTAATCGAATTTACGAGCTAAAACTGTAGGAACCTGATGAAGAGTCCATAAGGGGTTTGAAAACATTTGTTTTTGTACTTGTTAGGTGATCGTACCACACCGTAAATTGGTTCCGTGTATGTGAAGTTAGATGTCTTAGAAAACTCCTATGCATTACATACAAATAAAATTTTGCACTTTCAATCAATAATTAATCAATTACTTTGAGCAAAAGCATATAACAGACATGGGCAAATGTGACTCTTTTTGAGTTACATGTGGTTCTTGCTGAAAGTGTTAATTTCTGCTTTTTATTATTTTTACAATTTTATTTCTACAATTTTGTGAAAATATGTTTATTAAAAAAATTCAATATTTGTTTTATATTATATAACAAAATTCCGTACAGAACAGTGGTACAGAATAAAAAAGTAAAGAACCGCAGCTCCCATGCATTTTGCAAAATCTACATTTTGGCTCCCACTGAACTCTTGCTTGCCCACCCCTGGCATATAACATTAACATATGGCAGCAATTTCCATGAAAATTTTACAAAATTCTATTTTCCAAATCCATAAAAATTCCATGTTTTCCAAGTTTACTGTGTTTGCTACAAACCCTGAATATAATAAATATAAGAAAATAATATATATACAGTAAGACTCCACTTAATGCTGCCTCGATTAATGCTGATTCAATATAACACAGTCTGCTGGAAGCCTAAAAACGTTCAAAATTTACACTGATTCAAATTAACACGGCATCTCATTGATTCGTATATAATATGATTATTCCCAAACATGAACCAATTGGCAAAAGATGGCAATTTGTCGTAGCACCATACTTTCCTTAAATCTATGTTTTTGTGCAATTTTGGAAAAAATATATCATCATAGATGCTATAGAAAATATCGACTTTGCTTGACAAGAATTAACTGATAAATACATGAATGGAGTGTGGAAGAAGTTATGGCTGGAAGTATCCAAGAATTCTCAATGAGAAGAACCTATCGCTGTATCGTTAGATTGACCAAATTGTCAACCTAATCGATACAGCAGGACTAGATGTAGACAAACAGGATATTGAGGAATTACTGCAGGTTTCTGGTGAGAGCCTTACCAACAACAACCTTCAAAAACTGGCCAAACAAAGAATTCGTGTAGAACTGGAAAATAGAGATTCTGAAAATGAAGAATCCAAAGAATTTCTCTACAGATTTCCTTAGTAAAAGTTTGGTAACGATAACCAAAATCGTTGATGAAATTGTAACAAATTATCCAAATTTTGAAAGCTTCGAAGCTTCGTTACAATTCTCTTTTTTTCACTCTTACTCCACAAAGCATCATCCTCTGATCTATCTAGGGAATTTAAATTCAGTATTTCCTGAATGACTGATATCAGCTTTTGAAGATCGCTTTTCCCATGCATCTGATATCCTTGTAGCAAAACCAAAATATTATAATGCACGTGACAAGAATGGGCATGAAGCCTGCAAGAACCAACCTGAATCATTAAAAATAAACTTTTTTAAGTTTATTTTTAATGATTCAAAATGTACAAATATTCATTAAAAATACTAATTTAACAAATATGAAATAACTACATTTATAATCATTGCTAAGTGACCAGCTATTTTTGGATCATCTCTTTAAAAGCAGCATTCACTTTGACCTCGATAGCACTCTGCTAATTTCTGTGGGGAAAATTGTTTCACTTAATGAGTGTTTCGCATTACAAGTAAGGTTCTGGAACGAATTATGCTTGTAAAGTGTGGTTTCACTGTATTTTCTTATAATAGTTATAAATAAATAGTGATTACAAAATGACAATTGAAATTGTGATTAAATAAACATAAAGATTTTATGTTATAGAGTAAAAAACTAATATTTTACCTGATAACCTAAAATATCAAGAAAATAGGGAACTTTATCCCACCAAACTTCTACACTTTGATCTGATGTTGCCATGGCTTGAACATTTGTTGGAGCTGGAGGAACATCTCCAGGAGTTGGCACAGTTATTTTCATACTCCAAGGACCAGGTCCTCTGCTTGTATAAGCACGTACTCTAAATTCATATTCAGTATTTTCATCCAGTGAGCTAATAATATTTTAAAATAAAAATTATAAAAACAAGCTTAGATAATAGATTTAAATTAACATGTTTGATNGCCACCCTTTGGTCCACATTAGGCTGAGTTTTCGAGGCTCTACTGTATAATTAATATTTGGAGATCAACAAAATATTTGTTTATGCAAAATATTTACTTTGTTTTTGGAATGAATGTACATACTTAAAATGTTTCCTGTTGCTCTTCTTTTTTTCTAAAATAAATATCAGTTTTCTACCAAAGGTGCATTAATGATTATTTATATTAATTAATGTACTTCCTAACACACCGGGTTAAAATTTAAATTTTCTTACTTTAAACCAAATGTGAGATTAGCCTGGGGTCCAGGGTAGGTTGTTACGCCTGTATCACTTACTAGGCAGCTAGTCGGTAGGACTAGTTCTCTAAGTTTCGGATCGAGAGATCCGATCCTATGTCAAGATTTTGACCGAGAGGGCTTTTAATAATGATCCAAATCGCGAGATTCGGATCTATGTCAGGATTCCTGTGACACCAGTTAATCAATTGTTTTACACGCGGATTAACACGCGTATGAGATCTGATCCGATCCGAGTCTAAATTTAGAGACATATCTTATATAAAACAAACAAGAGTAAATTTAATGATTCAATATAAGTAAAACTAATACAAAATATCAATGAACGAGGGATATGAATACGACAATTAACATACACGATATAGGCAAGGACTTATACTATACCCGCTTCGCGATCGAGAGAGAGAGCTCACAAAATCATTAGAAACATACAACCTGTGGTAGTTGTTCTCATCTTCTTCTGTATTCAATGTATTTGTTGCACTTCTTGAGTATTCTGTATTCACTTAAAATGAGAATGGCTATAACTGTCGAAATAATTCCTTGTATGTCGTATGGCTCATAGGCGTTGGCCTTTAAGAGGAAATATGTATGTGGAGTCTGGACACTTCTGAAACTGTCAAAGAACTCCCAGAATTCTGACAAATTTCCTCTATATCTGCTGATTCTCGACCAATCATCGGCCAGTAACTATTCCATGAGAACGGATGAAAGGGGGATGAAAGAGGGGTAAACATTTCCTATCTGAGTGGGATTTTTAACTAGATAAGGGAAAAACAGAGGATGTACGGACTTCCCTCAAAGGAAGTAACATCTGTTATCCATCTTCTCCCACGTTAAAACACTATTTTTCTCACAAAAATGAAATAATATTTTCTGACAATATTTAACATTATTAATAAAAATTATTAAATTAGACCCAGGGGCCTTTCAGGTCTAACCGGAGCAAAAAATGTTTCTTTTGGTGCTAACGTTTTCGACGCCCCTTCTGGGCTCTTCTCCAGGCGTTTAATGTGGAATGCAAATCCATATGCATTAATTTTAAGAAGGAAATGTCGCTTTCTACAGCATGGCAAGTCCTAATGGACGATAATATTCAATTTTATTTACGTTTATAATGTTTTAAATTAAAAAACAGTTCGCATTTCGAATCTCAAAGTAGCATACAATGTTTGAATAAATTGGAATGCATGCACTTTTGGAATACAAAATCAAATGCCTTCTAAAGAAGTTCAAAAGTTTAAAGACCAGCTTGCAACGGATTTAAGCAAATGCCTGAAGAGNGAATTCCATGAATACTTTCGTCTACGTTTCTGTAAGTTAAAATATACTACAATACCAATTCTAAATAATAATATCAACTTGCCTGCCATTGCAGTTGTAACTATAATTTTGGCAGCAGGACGGAAACTTTCATCTGCTGGCACAGCTGTTACATTAACTTCATAACTTGTAAAAGGCATTAAATTATCAATTGTTACTTCAGTAACTTGAGAGCTAACAAGCACCTTTTGAATAGGTATGGGTAATTCTTGTAACATTCCTCGACTATCATAGAATTCTTTATGTGCACCATATGTGACCTTAAAATTTTAATACAAAAATATTTATTAAACTTAATATTAAGCTGATTCTCAGAATAAAACAGAATTATAGTATAATCTTTTAGTGAAAGAACAGATAGACAATGACTACAAATAAAAATATTAATGAAATTCTAATTTCCCTCATGCATTCTGTAAAACAGACTTTTGTGATTTTGATTTTATTAATCTAATTATGTATAGATGGGCTTTTTAAAGAATAACTAGTAATGCTACAGAAGCTATTAAATAAAATAGGAACAATAAAAAATAAACACGGTAACAAAATATAACAAAATAGTGTAGTAAAATTAACAATTGATGTATAATGAAATGATGTCAACTGAAATGACATAAATTGTAATATGAGTTGTTTCGAATAAATATTTGAACTGTGAAATAACAAATGAACATTTCATATCAATCAATGTTCAAATGAAACGAATTATTATGAAACATTCACATTCACATTGTCATTTTGTCATTTCAGATTATGAAATTGAAATAAACTTTCCCAAACTTGAAGTCCAGCTTTTTATTCTTTTGAAGATAAAAATGTTACTAAATTGTTATAATGTTACTTTAAAATACTACATGTAATAAGTTTTAATTGACCATAAATAATTTTAATTGATCTCAGATTATTTCCATTAGTTCTAATCAATATCTATAGCAGATGATATATATAAATTAACAAAATTATTTAAAATATTGCTAAAATCTGTAACATTTAAAACCAAATTATTTCAATAACTCTAAATTAATCGATTTCAAATTATTTAAAAGTCCATTCATATTTCTTATTGTTGGATGAGAGAGATGGTATAGAGACAAGACTATAAATGATTTACTTGACCCAATGCTAAAATAAACTTTTCTTTGTTAATGTTATGTCTTAGTCATCTTAGAGCAGAACAACAAGCAGTACAAGCTTTTACAATAGTTGTGAGTTATGTCACCCTTTGAATTCCTGACTAAAGTACACCTACATTTAGTAAGGGTAGGAAGACAAGAATTCCACAAAACTCATCACAAACATTATTCGCTACACTTATCTATTCATCTTTTTGGATCATTGAATGTATAAAATGTTATCAATTGATATTGCTACAAAGATTTCTGGTAAACATAAAATGAAAACTATATCCCATATACGAAAGAGATTTTAACACTTATATTTAATTCTAAATTTATGAATCATGGTTTAATATGATTATGAGCATAAGGAACAGAAGAGACATATGATATTCCCCAACATTTTTTGTATTGGCAAATAGTCCTCCATTTCCAAGATATATATGTTATACCATACTACAAAAATTAGTACTACTGCCCCAAAGCAGAAGGCTCTTTCTCCAAAAAACATTTAAAATCAAGTAGTACACTTACTATTGTACTTTATTAGTATCCTTTATTGATACCATCCAATATCAATAAAGGTACTGTACACAGAAACATCATAAAGAAGAAGACCGTAAGTGAATATTCGTTTTAATAATAAATGTACAAAAACAAAAGAAACATGGGTCAAAGAAAGTGTTTGAAGTTTCTTCCACTGACTGCAATGCAGACCTCATATCTACAGCGCATGGAATTCCGAACATTCTGGAATAATCCAGGCTCATCTCGAATTTCTCTGGCAACTACTGCGATTCTTGCAACCAGCTCCTCAGCATTGTTAATGGGGCTGTCATAAACCAGTGTTTTCATATGCCCCCAGAAATAAAAATCAAGACATGATAGGTCTGGTAACCGAGCAGGCCAACGTATGGGACCACCATGTCCAATCCACTGTTGGCCAAATGTGACATCTACAACTCCATCTACCGCATTAGGAAAGCTTTTCCAACCCCACATTGCTATATGATTCCGAGTCATCAGGATGCACCTTACCCCTCTTAGAAGTTCTGAAACGTTTAACTAAGACACTCTGTATATATACTGTATGTGATGCCAATGCATATGATATCAAATGCTTTGGTAATGTTAAATTTGTCCCATTTACTTCCTTATATTGTTCTCTCTCTAATAAAATAAATAAATAAAATAGTAACATATACAACAACCTGGTTCAATTTGTAGTGCCAAATAGTCTGCCAGATTATTTATAACACTATATAGAGGCTAATTTAAAGATTAGAAATAAAGCAATTTGGCTAGAGGTAGCTGGATAAACTGCCATCTCCATCTCCATGATAAATTTAATAATTAGAAATAAATTATTCTAAATTTAAAGTAAAAATTATTCTAAAAGAAAAGATTGCTTGAAAGAAGAAAAGTTGAACCTACAGTTTAAGTTTCACTAGATATTTTTATTAATGCATGTATATTTATATTATATATAATTATTTAGAACAGAAAACAGAATTTACATATTACATAAATAAAATTCTTACAATATATTTAGAAGGATCTAATTTAGTTGGTGGTTTCCACATTAACCACATGCTGTGTGTCGTGACAGCTTGAGCACGAAGTTGTGTCGGTACATCTGAAAATTAAAAATCATTGTTACATTCAAAATTTACAAATACTTCTTTGTTTTCAACATCAAAGAATAATCATGACAACTTTTAATGAATAAAAATGCAAATAAATTACTAAACACACAATTATTTAAATCTTGAAGTAAGCAATTTATTAAATATAATTCAAATAAAATTTTCATAATATTTCTTGAATACAGGTTGACATTCAAAAATCCGGCCATAATTCGGATAATCTGGTTCCTTCAGATTTCCAGCATGGATTTTGGAGTGCATTCTCAAATTTATGTGTTGGCATGTTTTCTGGAGGTGCCTAACTTAAATTCTATAGAACTGTTTTATTTAGTTAATGAACATAAAATTTCATTTGCTTTTCATTTAGTGTTTAAATTTTCTTTTTTAAAGGATTACACAGGTAGTCATTTTCTGTTAAATATATACAGCATATATAACCATAAAAAATCTGGCATTTTCAAAAATCCAGCATTCTTCAGGTCTGGAGGTTGCCTGATTTTTGATTGTCAACCTGTACCTATATTAAATGAAAAAACTTTTGATTATGTTCATTAAAGTATATAATTTTATATTTAATTTATTTAGGAAATTTTTTTCTTGAAAATATATATCAAGTGGCTAAAAAAACTACAGTTTTTGAAGTTAAAATAAAAAGGTACGTAAAAAGTGAATGAAAGTATTTTATTCAGTAAAGTAATCACCATCACAATCTACAATCTTTCCCTGATGAGATACAAGTTTGTAAATACCACTCTGAAAAAGTCCTGATCTTTAGAAGTGAAGAAATCCTTCAACTCCATTTTCAGCACTGCTTGCTTTCAAAACTGTCAGTTATGCATATGATTGTCTAGCCACAGATAAGTTGATAATCCAATGGTAATATGCCTGGTGAATATGGAGGATGGAAAAGAATTCCTCAACCAAGAATATGGAGCTTGTTCAAGGTCACTTATATTGTATAAGGTGTATTGTCCTGAAGAAACATGTCTTTGCAATTAACAAGTGTAGGCTGTTTTTGTAGCAGTGCATCTTGAACCCATTGCAGTTGTGCTGAATATATCTGCAGTGATTGTTTGGCCAAGGGAAAGAAGTTCATAATGAACAATTCCAGCTGTAGTCCACCAGATACACATTAGCGAGGTTGAGGCCAAAGTTTTAAATGCGAAAACGTGTACGTCGGACTTTCAGCGCCTCTTTCCTGTAAGTCTAGAAGTTTGACAATGGTGTTTGGACAGTCAGTGGAATCATACTTGACATTCCAAACACCATTGTCAAACTTCTAGGCTTACAGGAAAGCAGCGCTGAACATCCGACGTACAAGTTTTTGCATTTAAAACTTCAGTCTCAACCTCGCTAATAAAGTTTTCTTTGGATGGTTGTTGCGCTATGATGTATGTGGTAGCGATTAACTGAATGATAACCAATGATGGAAATATTTGGGGTTGTCATATATAACTCATTCTTCACCACACATCAGCAACTTGTCAAAAAAAGGCTCATTATTATGTCATGAAAATAGTAAATAGCAGATCATAAGCCTCTGGAGCTTTTTATCAGCACTCAGTTTATGTGGAACCCATTTGATTAGTTTCCAGCTTCCTAGACAATGCAAATACAAACAAATGGTTTCATCACTCACATTGAACCTTTTTACAAGCTTCTGGAACATTTGTCTTGAATCCAACTCTGGACACCTTCATTTCATCCTCATCAATGATGCTTGGTCTTCCTTCCCTCGCAAGGTGCATCTTCAAGAGTCTCATCAATTGATGCAAATTTTTTAAACAATTTTTGGGCCCTGTGTTCACTCACTATGTTTTCTCCAATGCGCTACATATCTTGCAGGCTATTTATGTTGTGTTAACCACAGAATAGTGTTGGGTGACAGTCACAGATGAAAATCTGTAATTTCACTTAATGATTTACTGTAGGCAATTCCTATCATTTCCGGGATGTATGCTAACATTCTTTTCTTCTACTTTACAGATGGTACTCAATGAAATATTAATAATGCAGATTAGTATGAAGAACAAAGGTGCCAGTCAGCTGAGCAATACAAGGGTCATCCAGAAAGTTTGTTCTGAGATGATGATGAGTGCAATAGATGTCAAGCAGGTAACTAATCCTCACTCATACGTACACTTCACTTGAAGTAAGTTATGTGTTGATCGATTATACTGTACAGATGTTGGGTATTGTTAAAATGGAAGCAAAAAATTAATAATCCCATGGAATATAAAGTGCATGCTGTTATTTGGTTTCTGAATGCCAAAAACATTCATCTAAAGGACATTCATCATTGCATTGTGGCAGTGTATGGTGACAATTTGATAGACTGTGTAGGTCCAATCAAAACAAGCAGCATGGCATGTTATGCCATATCTTGACATGGCTCAGGAGAACACATTCCTGCTTTAATGCTTCAAATGGGACATTCTGCACCATCTTGCCTACACTCCAAACTTGATTCCCAGTGACTATCACCTGCTTGGAAATTAAAGAAATTTCTGAGAGGAAAGTGCTAGCAAGTGTTGATAAGTTGAAAGATGGAGTCATGCAATGGTTAAAGGGTTTGGCAGAAGGTCTATGATAACAGCCCTCAAAAAGTGGTCACAAGATAAAAAAATGCTTAAATAACTGGTGATAATATCAAAAATGATTAAATCAATGTGTATTATTATAGCAAATAAAAAATTCAAATAAGTAGACTTGTTTTGTAATTATGGGCAAATGGACAACCCTTGTACAAAGGCATACAGACTGGAATATGAGTCAGATACAACTTGATCAATCAATAGGCCAAATATATCCATTTTTATTTTAATATTAAATACTGATATTGTTTTTGATATAGTACAACAAAGCATCAATTTTAAATTATTTGGAATATTGAGTTTATTCTGGAGTGTTTTCTCTGAAAGAATTGTTCAAATATATTTGGATCATCAAAGTAAGTTTTTTATTTTTCATATATAAAATGTGTAAAGTAAGAATATGCTGAGCAACCATGTCAAATTTCTTTGTATTTAGTAAATTACTGAAAATTCAAATTTGTTTTATTTTCCATCTTTTTGTGCTATTGGAAAATAAAGCTTATTCAAAAAACTGTATGTGTGTGTGTGTTCATTGCTCAAATCTTTAACAAGATTCATTGGCATTTGACTTGCCACTATCTCAATGGAATTTGAATCAATAAGCCCTAAAATATAATATTTGAAGAGCTATTCTGTTTATATTAAGAGAGTGGTAGTGTATTTAAAATAAAGAAAAAACAAAATTCTTAGAGCAAAAATTTAGTTATAATAAGTCAGTGGCGGCCTTAGGGGGTGGCAAGCAGGGCAATCGCCCGGGGCCTAGCTCTTGGATGGGCCTCGCACAACAACCAAGTAGAAAAAAGTTGATATTTAAAACTTTTTATTTTATCCTTGGCTATTAGTTATAACAATAAAATAAATTTAATTTATAGTACAGTATATATTAATATTAATAAGTGCCTGCTATTTCAATTCACATACTTTGCACAAAGGACAAGGGCCTCGCAAAGATCTGCCGCCCAGAGCCTCGCAATGGATAAGGCCGCCGCTGATAACAGTTAATGTTTTTTAATAATTATAATCTATCTTCAAAGCAGTTAATTAAAATATTAAAATATGATAAAAATTAAAAATTTGATGGATAGTATTTACAATAAAATATAATATATATAAATATATTGAAGCTATAAAAATGTCTTCATTACTATTGGCCAAATCTTTAATTTTAACCAACTGTATTGTGAATTATGGTTGGCATAATCACCAGAGGATGTTTTTATCTATTCTGCATTTTTGTGGAGGTGCAACCTCAAATAAGAGGTCATCTTCATAAGTAAAAATTGTTTTGGACTGTCACTGATGTTTGCAACAATAGAAAATGAAGACATTTTTGTAGCTTCAATTTACTTGTATTTATATATTTTGGATTTTAATTAAAGTATGAATCTAAAAAATATATGTTAAAATGAATACATTCAAAATTTATACAAACAGCATTGAATAAAATTTTACAAAGTATTTTATGATATTGTATTCTATAGAAAATTATTCAGAATTCATATTCTAATTCAGTATCTTTATATCAGATTGTGGCTAATAAAGTATTTACCATTTTTTAAAATCTGGAGTGTTTTGTATTGTATATACTAATATATAAGTATTCACAATAAAACATAATAAAAGTTCTAAAAATGAATTAAAATTGTTATACTTTTTATTAAAGGATAATTTTGGCTGTATAAAAGAATTTGTTATTTAATGTAAAAAATAAAAAATTTTCAATAAATGTATTATATATTCAGAAACCATTTTCTTTTTTTATAATAAAATGTAAAACTTAGAAGTCTGATTAAACTTTATAAAATCATATTACCAGTAGGTGTAACACGAACTGTAATTAATTCAGAGAGACGTCCTAATCCTTGTCTAGTCAGAGCAGCTACACGTATGGCATACATTGCATGACTATCAAGCCCACCAATTTCTGCAGATGATGTCAATGGCACCCTTTTACTGTTCCATTGATCCAAATCTTCTACAGCAGTTTGGGTATATAATACCTATAATGTCAATCAAAGAAATATTTATCCAATTTAGCTAAAATTTTAACTTGCAAAACATGATTAAATTTCAAACTTAGCAAATATTAACAAAATAATTAAAATGTAAAGTTTACATTTAAATATATTTATTTGAAAACATTCATTTAACCAGTCATCTATTTTTTTGTTTTTAATTCTTAAGAAAATGAAAAAGACATTTTAGATATATTTTATATTGTTAAATTAATTATAAAAGATTATATTAAAAATAAATTACTTCTTACTATATATATACATATATATATAGTAAGAACAATATTTTAATAAGTAACAATATTTTCCAGAAATATAAAAACAATAAAATATGAAATTTTATGTTTAATTACTTGTGATATAAGTATCAAACCCAAGAAAATAAAATTGTCTCTCTCTTAATGTATTACTTAAATGTTTTTATATTTATTGATATTTTAAATATATTATTATTATGAAAAAAATTACAAGGATAGTGTAAAGAAGCTGCTCTTATCACTTATCATGAGCTTTGAAAATGCTGCAAAGAACCTATTGATAACATTAAATGAGGCCTCACTGTATACAGAGTTTTCAGTGTTCATAGCAAATTTTCAATTTGCAATGAACACTGAAAATTGAAAATTTATAGAAATTTCAATGAAATTTGCAGTGTCTTAATAGTATTAGAATTTTGAATTATTGCTAGATTATGAACTTAATAATTATATAAGTACAGAATAAGTTTTAAATCTTTGTATACATTTCTGTTAACAGCTTAATTGTTTCAAAATGATCAATGCCATAATAATTAATTGTTTGCTGCAATATGGTTCAAGTTAAAAACAAAATAAATATATATATAAAAGTACCAATACATAGTATGGTTCACATTTGCTTCTAAACAAATAAGCACTGGTTTCTTATAAATTATAAAGTAATGTGATAATAAAAAGACTATGTCAATAGTTTACAATGTGAGACTGTTGAACATCTAAAAGGCAAAGATAACAAAACATCACCTTGTGGACAGTCAACAGAAAGTATACCTAACTGATCCTAACCAGAAATGTAAAAACTGACAGACAAATTTATAATGTTAATTTTTATTTAATCTCAATTAAATAGTACTGTGTCTTCATCTACAGCAGCCTACATCACCAACAATACATAGTATATAATCCCAAAAGCTAGGGATTATTTTTTAATAGTTATTCACTGAGTGCTTCATAAATGCTAGACTCTACTTACTTTCCAAACAGATTAGTTGGTTCACTCAGTTTCTAATTAAACTAGTTTCCAAGTGCACGCCACTCATTGGTCTGATGAAGTTAGATGCAAAAAATTAACTACTCACCACACCTATATAACAATCACATACACAGAACCAATTTACGGTGTGGTACGATCGACTAACAAGTACAAAAACAAAAGTTTTCAAACCCCTTCTAGACTCTTCATCAGGTTCCTACAGTTTTAGCTCGTAAATTCGATTACTGAATGCTTTTCAAATAACTTCGTTCTTGAGTTTGAACGGTTCTTTTAAACTTATACGTTGCGCATGCATGACAAGGCAGCCTGCTCGGATATAACGAGCGGCTAAAGCGTGCTGTGTATCAGGCAGACTTGTCACGCATGCGCAACGTATAAGATTAAAAGAACCGTTCGAACTCAAGAATGAAGTTATTTGAAAAGCATTCAGTAATCGAATTTACGAGCTAAAACTGTAGGAACCTGATGAAGAGTCCATAAGGGGTTTGAAAACATTTGTTTTTGTACTTGTTAGGTGATCGTACCACACCGTAAATTGGTTCCGTGTATGTGAAGTTAGATGTCTTAGAAAACTCCTATGCATTACATACAAATAAAATTTTGCACTTTCAATCAATAATTAATCAATTACTTTGAGCAAAAGCATATAACAGACATGGGCAAATGTGACTCTTTTTGAGTTACATGTGGTTCTTGCTGAAAGTGTTAATTTCTGCTTTTTATTATTTTTACAATTTTGTGAAAATATGTTTATTAAAAAAATTCAATATTTGTTTTATATTATATAACAAAATTCCGTACAGAACAGTGGTACAGAATAAAAAAGTAAAGAACCGCAGCTCCCATGCATTTTGCAAAATCTACATTTTGGCTCCCACTGAACTCTTGCTTGCCCACCCCTGGCATATAACATTAACATATGGCAGCAATTTCCATGAAAATTTTACAAAATTCTATTTTCCAAATCCATAAAAATTCCATGTTTTCCAAGTTTACTGTGTTTGCTACAAACCCTGAATATAATAAATATAAGAAAATAATATATATACAGTAAGACTCCACTTAATGCTGCCTCGATTAATGCTGATTCAATATAACACAGTCTGCTGGAAGCCTAAAAACGTTCAAAATTTACACTGATTCAAATTAACACGGCATCTCATTGATTCGTATATAATATGATTATTCCCAAACATGAACCAATTGGCAAAAGATGGCAATTTGTCGTAGCACCATACTTTCCTTAAATCTATGTTTTTGTGCAATTTTGGAAAAAATATATCATCATAGATGCTATAGAAAATATCGACTTTGCTTGACAAGAATTAACTGATAAATACATGAATGGAGTGTGGAAGAAGTTATGGCTGGAAGTATCCAAGAATTCTCAATGAGAAGAACCTATCGCTGTATCGTTAGATTGACCAAATTGTCAACCTAATCGATACAGCAGGACTAGATGTAGACAAACAGGATATTGAGGAATTACTGCAGGTTTCTGGTGAGAGCCTTACCAACAACAACCTTCAAAAACTGGCCAAACAAAGAATTCGTGTAGAACTGGAAAATAGAGATTCTGAAAATGAAGAATCCAAAGAATTTCTCTACAGATTTCCTTAGTAAAAGTTTGGTAACGATAACCAAAATCGTTGATGAAATTGTAACAAATTATCCAAATTTTGAAAGCTTCGAAGCTTCGTTACAATTCTCTTTTTTTCACTCTTACTCCACAAAGCATCATCCTCTGATCTATCTAGGGAATTTAAATTCAGTATTTCCTGAATGACTGATATCAGCTTTTGAAGATCGCTTTTCCCATGCATCTGATATCCTTGTAGCAAAACCAAAAGATTATAATGCACGTGACAAGAATGGGCATGAAGCCTGCAAGAACCAACCTGAATCATTAAAAATAAACTTTTTTAAGTTTATTTTTAATGATTCAAAATGTACATATATTCATTAAAAATACTAATTTAACAAATATGAAATAACTACATTTATAATCATTGCTAAGTGACCAGCTATTTTTGGATCATCTCTTTAAAAGCAGCATTCACTTTGACCTCGATAGCACTCTGCTAATTTCTGTGGGGAAAATTGTTTCACTTAATGAGTGTTTCGCATTACAAGTAAGGTTCTGGAACGAATTATGCTTGTAAAGTGTGGTTTCACTGTATTTTCTTATAATAGTTATAAATAAATAGTGATTACAAAATGACAATTGAAATTGTGATTAAATAAACATAAAGATTTTATGTTATAGAGTAAAAAACTAATATTTTACCTGATAACCTAAAATATCAAGAAAATAGGGAACTTTATCCCACCAAACTTCTACACTTTGATCTGATGTTGCCATGGCTTGAACATTTGTTGGAGCTGGAGGAACATCTCCAGGAGTTGGCACAGTTATTTTCATACTCCAAGGACCAGGTCCTCTGCTTGTATAAGCACGTACTCTAAATTCATATTCAGTATTTTCATCCAGTGAGCTAATAATATTTTAAAATAAAAATTATAAAAACAAGCTTAGATAATAGATTTAAATTAACATGTTTGATATTAAATTATTATATATTATATTTATAAAAATATATTCTTATGTCTTATAATAAAAATATCTTGTGGATGGTTTTTTTAATAAATGTCATTTATTTATACATTAATTAAAAGATCTACAAAAGCTATATAATATTGAATTAATTCTAATTAGTTTACAGATAAATATCTTTGTACGAAATGAAGAGACACAATATACTTCTTTTCATTTCTAGCTAATGTCCAAAGTTCTTCACACTTTTGGAAAGTCTCTATTGTTTTTTAATAATTATCATTTTTAATTTTTTAAATAATACATAACAAACAAAAATAAAAAGTCTAATAATTTATGCACTATATACTATATAAGACATCAATGCATACTGCATAAATTGACAAACAGGAAGATTTGTATTTAGCAGTAAAAGATCTCATAAAGATATAACAATAAAAATTTCAGTAGCAATTCTGTGACATTAGAACAATATAAAGATTATTATTCAAAAAAATATTTCAGAAATCTTTTTAAATGAGAAATTAAATGATTTTCAAAATAATTCTAAATGAAAATCTTTAAAATAAATTTATAATAGTTTATTTAAAGTTAAAAAAAAATTCTTTAAACAAATTTCTGTAAATTTGTAATATTAATTTTACCATAGTTCTTAAAATAATATTATGAAAAACAAAATCAATCTAGAAATAATAATAATCAGTCACAAAAGATAGTTTTATAATCGTTTCTTTAATACTTATTTAAATTCTTATATTTGAATATCTTGGTATCACATTTCCATATAATATACATAACTTAAATATAGTCTTTTAAAAATGTGGTCCATTTTTTTCTTGGATTTTATTTCTAAACTATATATCAAGATTCACAAATTTTGGTGTGTGTGTTCATTTGGGTGCATTTGGAAAATAGCAATCCTGTGAAGACATTTTTGATATGCACTCCATTAGCATCCAGAATCAGATAATGTCCAAAGTTTTCCACATCTTCAGAAAGAATTTGTCATGTGTCACAAATCACTATTGTTGAAATTGCAGACTTAAACTTTTTTACTGAAATTAAGATTGGTGAAAGATGTTGGCCATCTCTAGCTGAATGATCCTCAAAGACAATTAGATGACAGTATCATCAAAATGTTCATTGACCATTCTAATATTGTATTTACAGTGTAGAATCAAGCTTTGTCCTATTAATAATGCATTTCTTAAAGGAAATAAAGAAAATGATCAGTATTCATTGTATCATTATAAAAAATATCAACCTGATAATATCACATATTGATAATACACAATTTCTCAAGTTTGCTGAATTCATACATGCTGAGAATGCTGACATTTGATATAGGTATCAGTGTAGTAATCAGCAAAAATTATAATTTTTCTGAAAATATAATATATATTTATTATATTTTCTTGTATAAAANTATTATTCTAATAATAAGCTGTAAAACAAATATATGTAACAAAAATAATAATTATTCAATCCAAAATTAAAAACAGAATAAAATAAGAAAAATATACAATTGAGATTGAGCTTAAAACATTTAGATATTTATCTTGATTTGAAGTGTAAATGAAATTATAAGACACTGAATGAGATGATAGCTTCTTAAAATGTTGGTATTGTGATATGGATCCTATACACTATAGGCAAAGGACATACAAAATATAAATAGTTTCTAATGATTAACCTTAATGATCAATTTTTTAAAACATCACTAACACACCAGAGTTTAGTAAATGAACCAAACCGGAAACATGTTTGGTTCGTTTACTATATTTCAAATTTTCAAACCGGTAACAGGTTTGAAGATTTTGGTTCATTTACATTTTTTACTTAGTAATTCCCCTGTTAAGGTGAAAACAGAGGAATTACTCTGTTTTCAGTTTAACAGCTTATGGAAACAGATGTTGAAAAATAATTATAGCCTAGTTTTGTTTAGGATAACAGATAGGATTTTTGACAACTGAAACTTATACCATATTTTTGCGGATTGATTGGCATACCACATATAACTGGGGGTTACAGCATGCTAGTTAAACTGCAACTAAAGCAAAATTAATCAGATCTAACAAAACTAGTTGTTAAATAAATGTTAAAGAAAGCATTCTTCTGAGTACAATAAAATAACATTGTAATTTGACTGACTTAAAATCTGGAAGAGAGTTGTAGTTTACACGACAATAAAACAATTAATGGCTTATTGACAGTAGTAGTTGTTGTTGTTATTAGTCAGTCAGTGTGGGCTGCANACACCATCCTCGTTGCTGTGCTATTATGCTCAGATAGTGAATGATCTGGTTTCTTGTGAAACTGAATTCCATAATGAGTAATTTTTCCATTACAATACTGTGCCAATGGTGGATCCCAGCTAACAACAACAGTTGTAGGACTCTGAAGGCGATGACTCATATTCAAAGGCGGTGCAGTGGGGACTAAAATAAATTACATATGCAATTTAAATTTCTTTTGTTTTTTTACTATGAAAAAATAATTTATAATTGAATCATCTGTTTTTAATGAATTAACAGAAACTAATAATTTGGATTATTATGAAAGTTTACAGTTTTAATTAATGCAATATTATAGTCATTATTTATCAATTTATATATATATAGACCAGTTTGTAAAGATTATATTTTTTGTGCATATAATCCCATAGGTTATCTGTGTTTAAAAGACAATTTGAAATAGATATAGATTATTCAAGTGTGGTCATATGATGATTTTAAATTGCAATTACAAGCTCATGCCTATAGAGCAACAGCTGGTCCGTATGTGCTGGGTATAAAATGAGGGCAAGTTATGCAAAACATATTTTCATTCTAACAATTTTCTGCAAGGTATATGCCATTGTGAGTTCAATCTAAAATTATTAGAAAAAAAGAAAAAGAAGAAAAGGAGATTGCTCAATAGAATCTAAGCTTAAGAAAAATGAAGTGGATTTAAAGAATAACCTGAAATATATATATATATAACTATCTGATAAAATATTATTGAATTATACAAATACATATTTCAATTATATTTTATTAGGTGATGATAATAAAAACATGAAAAATAAGATAAATAAATATAGTTATTACATAATTATGTATAAAAGTAAAAATTCTTTTCAAAATTCAAACAACTTTAAGTAATAAGATTGAATTTAAAATTTAAATTTAAATTCAATTTTAGCATTTCATGAGTACTTAAAAAGTATGCATAATTCTATTCAAAATTAATTCATTGACCAAAATTGATATGTCTATTGGATCAAAAATAAATACATTTTTAGATTATTTTCTCGGGAATATCCATTGAATATGTAGAGAGAAATATAGAAAACTATCAACAGGAATTCTCTCTTTTATTTAAGAAATTGTTTTTAATTTTTAAAAATTAAAAAAAATCTTTCTTAATAAAGTAAACAAGGATGATGTTAACACAGAGTACTTTATTTTCTGCTTATTTACTTTACATCCAGTAAGGTAATCATTCCCACAGAACCATATTGACCACAATATAACTCTGTGGGAATGACTACCCCACTGGACTGATTATTCCAATATTGCCATTCTGGACTATCTTGACTCTAGGTGGATTTTCAATCATCAAGTGCACCTAGAATGACCAACTTTTCATAAAGCCAACCTGGGATACATCCTTATCAAATCAAAAAGTTAAAGTAATGATGAGTTTTATTGTGAAGGTTAAGGATGTACGAGACAAATCGTTCCAACGAATATCAATTAAACAATAATTTATTACAACAGGGATTAACAGGTAACACAGAGATGCCCGTCAGAGACAAATACACAGATATACAACAGGTCTCTACTCTCGTCCGGAATCTTACAATTTTTAATTATCACGATATAGGTTCTAATCACTAACTTATAATTAACTTACATCTAACTTAATCTAACACTATACTAATAAGAGGAAAAGGAAGGAAGGAAAGAAAAGGTCTACCGGTAGTTAGCACAGGAGGTCCTGATGGTGGTTTCCGATAATTGCGGGGGTTTTCTCGGCCGACTTTGGTATATTAAACATTCCTAGTATGAAATTNACACAATTTCTCAAGTTTGCTGAATTCATACATGCTGAGAATGCTGACATTTGATATAGGTATCAGTGTAGTAATCAGCAAAAATTATAATTTTTCTGAAAATATAATATATATTTATTATATTTTCTTGTATAAAATTTAATATGATGTGTGGTCTTCATCTGTACAATATGTTATTGCATAATTATCTATGTTACAACTGATAAATTCATTTTATATAATATAACAACAATCAAATCCTATTTATCATTAAAAACCAATCATAGTTGCCAGATATTCGGGTTATAACCCAAGAATATTTGGCGTTCAATATTTTATAATAAAATTATTGATATTATATCAGTAAAATATTTTGTACAATTATTAGAATTAAAAATATATTTTAATACCTGAACACCATCCTCGTTGCTGTGCTATTATGCTCAGATAGTGAATGATCTGGTTTCTTGTGAAACTGAATTCCATAATGAGTAATTTTTCCATTACAATACTGTGCCAATGGTGGATCCCAGCTAACAACAACAGTTGTAGGACTCTGAAGGCGATGACTCATATTCAAAGGCGGTGCAGTGGGGACTAAAATAAATTACATATGCAATTTAAATTTCTTTTGTTTTTTTACTATGAAAAAATAATTTATAATTGAATCATCTGTTTTTAATGAATTAACAGAAACTAATAATTTGGATTATTATGAAAGTTTACAGTTTTAATTAATGCAATATTATAGTCATTATTTATCAATTTATATATATATAGACCAGTTTGTAAAGATTATATTTTTTGTGCATATAATCCCATAGGTTATCTGTGTTTAAAAGACAATTTGAAATAGATATAGATTATTCAAGTGTGGTCATATGATGATTTTAAATTGCAATTACAAGCTCATGCCTATAGAGCAACAGCTGGTCCGTATGTGCTGGGTATAAAATGAGGGCAAGTTATGCAAAACATATTTTCATTCTAACAATTTTCTGCAAGGTATATGCCATTGTGAGTTCAATCTAAAATTATTAGAAAAAAAGAAAAAGAAGAAAAGGAGATTGCTCAATAGAATCTAAGCTTAAGAAAAATGAAGTGGATTTAAAGAATAACCTGATATATATATATATATAACTATCTGATAAAATATTATTGAATTATACAAATACATATTTCAATTATATTTTATTAGGTGATGATAATAAAAACATGAAAAATAAGATAAATAAATATAGTTATTACATAATTATGTATAAAAGTAAAAATTCTTTTCAAAATTCAAACAACTTTAAGTAATAAGATTGAATTTAAAATTTAAATTTAAATTCAATTTTAGCATTTCATGAGTACTTAAAAAGTATGCATAATTCTATTCAAAATTAATTCATTGACCAAAATTGATATGTCTATTGGATCAAAAATAAATACATTTTTAGATTATTTTCTCGGGAATATCCATTGAATATGTAGAGAGAAATATAGAAAACTATCAACAGGAATTCTCTCTTTTATTTAAGAAATTGTTTTTAATTTTTAAAAATTAAAAAAAATCTTTCTTAATAAAGTAAACAAGGATGATGTTAACACAGAGTACTTTATTTTCTGCTTATTTACTTTACATCCAGTAAGGTAATCATTCCCACAGAACCATATTGACCACAATATAACTCTGTGGGAATGACTACCCCACTGGACTGATTATTCCAATATTGCCATTCTGGACTATCTTGACTCTAGGTGGATTTTCAATCATCAAGTGCACCTAGAATGACCAACTTTTCATAAAGCCAACCTGGGATACATCCTTATCAAATCAAAAAGTTAAAGTAATGATGAGTTTTATTGTGAAGGTTAAGGATGTACGAGACAAATCGTTCCAACGAATATCAATTAAACAATAATTTATTACAACAGGGATTAACAGGTAACACAGAGATGCCCGTCAGAGACAAATACACAGATATACAACAGGTCTCTACTCTCGTCCGGAATCTTACAATTTTTAATTATCACGATNTATAAATATATTGAAGCTATAAAAATGTCTTCATTACTATTGGCCAAATCTTTAATTTTAACCAACTGTATTGTGAATTATGGTTGGCATAATCACCAGAGGATGTTTTTATCTATTCTGCATTTTTGTGGAGGTGCAACCTCAAATAAGAGGTCATCTTCATAAGTAAAAATTGTTTTGGACTGTCACTGATGTTTGCAACAATAGAAAATGAAGACATTTTTGTAGCTTCAATTTACTTGTATTTATATATTTTGGATTTTAATTAAAGTATGAATCTAAAAAATATATGTTAAAATGAATACATTCAAAATTTATACAAACAGCATTGAATAAAATTTTACAAAGTATTTTATGATATTGTATTCTATAGAAAATTATTCAGAATTCATATTCTAATTCAGTATCTTTATATCAGATTGTGGCTAATAAAGTATTTACCATTTTTTAAAATCTGGAGTGTTTTGTATTGTATATACTAATATATAAGTATTCACAATAAAACATAATAAAAGTTCTAAAAATGAATTAAAATTGTTATACTTTTTATTAAAGGATAATTTTGGCTGTATAAAAGAATTTGTTATTTAATGTAAAAAATAAAAAATTTTCAATAAATGTATTATATATTCAGAAACCATTTTCTTTTTTTATAATAAAATGTAAAACTTAGAAGTCTGATTAAACTTTATAAAATCATATTACCAGTAGGTGTAACACGAACTGTAATTAATTCAGAGAGACGTCCTAATCCTTGTCTAGTCAGAGCAGCTACACGTATGGCATACATTGCATGACTATCAAGCCCACCAATTTCTGCAGATGATGTCAATGGCACCCTTTTACTGTTCCATTGATCCAAATCTTCTACAGCAGTTTGGGTATATAATACCTATAATGTCAATCAAAGAAATATTTATCCAATTTAGCTAAAATTTTAACTTGCAAAACATGATTAAATTTCAAACTTAGCAAATATTAACAAAATAATTAAAATGTAAAGTTTACATTTAAATATATTTATTTGAAAACATTCATTTAACCAGTCATCTATTTTTTTGTTTTTAATTCTTAAGAAAATGAAAAAGACATTTTAGATATATTTTATATTNGTGGTAGCATTTGAAGCATATCTATATATATATAACCCATTGAACGCGTGTCCGTCCATTCGTGTAACGTTATGCCGAAAACGGCCACTAGAGGCGCCTCTGTCGTGTGTCGTATTTTGCACATTTAAATTAATATGAGGCTCTCTGGTACTTTTGTTATCCTGTTTTCATGACAATTTGGCTCTTCTCACTTGACAAACTGCCGACCCCTGATCTAGGGTTAAGGCTTTTATGTCCAACAGATGGCGCTACTAGTATGATAACCTAAGCTTGCTTTTCTGTGAGGATGAACTAAAGCAGATCATCTTCTATCTATCTATATAAATAAAAATGTAATGTTCGTTTCTTCCTACCAATTCCTTTGAAATTTTGACACAACGCTGCATTCGAATACACACGTTTTTATATAATATACATGTTGAAATTCCCCCCACTGGGGGGAGATGGACAGGAATAAGGCTTACCGTAAAGAACTCTGCTTCTGTTTATATTATTTTAGATGCAGTTTTTGCATTTTTGATTGCATTTTAATAGGGTACGTCAAGAGAACATACACTAAGAATGGATTTTTCGAAAAATTCCCCTCCACGGGGAAAGTGTTATACATTTATAATAGATACATTTTGAGCCACAACAACACGTGGCGGAGTCTGCTAGTATAGAATAATTTTAAAACCTAATAAAATTTACAACATGTTTACAACATAAATATTCTTAATATAATATTAAAATTGTGTGTAAAAATGTCAAAAATTAAAAAACATTAATTTTCAATAGCTAATAGCCAATTAAATCTGTAATACCTAATTTTTTCATATATTAGTTTATGAACTGTAATTTAAAATTTTATAATGCAATTAAAATTATTCAACCTAATACTTACCACCCCCTAATGTTTTCACTGTTTTCGCTCTGCTACGTGTCCCATCTCCTTTTCTTGTAACAGCTGCAACTTGTACTGAATATTCAGTATCAGGTTGTAAGTTTGTTACATTATATTCTTCTGCATCTTCTTCGGCCACATCGTATCTTATTGGTTCATTTATCAAATCGCCTTCTTTATTCATTTCTTGTACATGAATCTGATATCCACGAATTAAACCATTACGATCTCTATTGGCAGGAGGTTTCCAACGTACACTAATTGCAGTACTATTAATTGGTGTGACTTTAATTTGCTTGGGTTCACCGGGAACTAAAAAAATTAAATATTTCTCATTAATCAATTAATAATAACCTTAATCTTAAATGTGAAGAAAATTTCATAATTTGTATATCGAGTAATTTTAAACATGTAAGCTACAAAAGCAAAACACAATATATGTTCAATTGTTATCTCTTTTAACTGAATATCTTCAAATTAAATACACAAAAAATCAAAAATCTAGCAGTTTATAACCTTAATTTTTAAAAATGACCAAAAGTATTTTTTTATTTAGAAAGTAAAAATTAAGGTTATAAACTGCTAGATTTTTGATTTTTTGTGTGTGTTTAATTTAGCAAAATGTGTTCTTTTTCAAAATTATATTATTAATTTTTACATAAATTGTCATTGAAAGTGAACTACAAAAATTTCCAATTAAGTTTTTTGTAGTTCATTTTATTCCATTGAATCATAAAAAAATAACCTAAAATTTTCTATGACTTACTTTTGGAATTTTTTTATTATGTATGTATTTAAACATAGAATGTTTAAATAGTTGCATATTTGTATATTATGAAAGAAAAACCATATTAATATCATTAATAGAAAAATAAATAAAAAATTATTAAAACTGAAACTTAGGACGTAGATATGTCCTCGAAGTTTCAGTTTCCTATTTTCATTAGAAGTGGATGAAATTTGAGGAAACATACAAAGCAAGTTAAATAAAAGCATTTAAAAATAATTGAGTACTTGTGATGAAAATGATCATCAAATGAATTTGAAAAAGAATTTTAATTTTCTGTGTCTATACAGTGAGAGAAATTATTAACATGTTCATTATTTTCTAAATATGGGTTCAACCATTTCAGGCTTGGATATTAAGTTTTATTTCATTTTAATATGGACAACAAGAATTTATAACTGAAACAAGCTTTTGTTTATTTACTTCATATTTATTCAAATAATTCACTTAAATAATTTAATATTACATTCTAAATTTTAAAAATTTTATATGAATTTAAAATACTTATAATTTTAATTCTATGAATTTTGATTTCCACTATAGAGTTTTACACCTATATATTTTCATATTGAGTGTACATCAGAATAAAGAATGGTGTTGCAACATATAATTGGATTTCATTCATATACATGAAATATATTATTTTATAGTATATGATAATATAAAAGCCCTGACTACATTAACTACATGACTATCTACATTATTTAACATGCTAAATAAGAATTCAAGGCAAGACAAAAATTATAGAAATTTGAAGAAAGACATCTGAATATGCTAATTTTGTGTTTTTAT